GTCTGTCTCGGTCCCCCAGTCAGTCAGTCAGTCCCTCTCAGTGTCTGTCTCGGTCCCCCAGTCAGTCAGTCCCTCTCAGTGTCTGTCTCGGTCCCCCAGTCAGTCAGTCCGTCCCTCTCAGTGTCTGTCTCGGTCCCCCAGTCAGGCAGTCTGTCCCTCTCAGTGTCCCTCCCCAGTGTTACCTGGCCTGAGTGTTGGGTGAGCCACTGTCCTGCTCTGTGCTGGCAGGCTTGTGCACCTCCACACCTACCGACCTGCAGCGAGAGGGAGACGTCAGAGAGAGAGAGAAGAGCGAGGGGGGGGAGAGAGAGGAGCGAACGAGGGGGGGGGAGAGTGGGAGGACGACGAGCTCTTGCCTGCGAAGGGGAGAGTGCTGCCCGGCGCTGCCCAGCGACGAGGTCGACAGGGTCGTTTCCACGGAGTCGCTGATGGCCTCATCCAGGGGAGGGGTCCTCGGGAGGAGGTCAGGGCGGCCCGACTGCATGCCTGGGGAGGAGGAGACAAACACAGCAGATCAGACCCCAGCTGCGACGCAGGCCGGCCAGCGGACCCCCCCCCCACCCCACCGGCACACTCCTCCACTCTCACCGCTCTCGCCGTCGGCCTCGACGCTGCTGTGGTGGAGGTGCGATTGATAGACCAGCCGGGGCTCTAGGTGGGGGTTCTGGTGCTGGTGGGGGGCCGTGCCCCCCGTGATCGTCCGTCGCATGCCCCCCTGGCCCCCCCCGCGGCTCTTCTTGGAGGGTGAGGGCTTCACTAGGGAGAAGACAAGAGCAGGTGAGACCAGATCTGTACCCCCCCCACACACATCCCTTAATGATGCTCCACAACTCCATACGCACCCCCATACCCACCCACAGACACCCATACCCACCCCCACCCTCCTCCACACACACACACATGGCCACAGACATCCATTCCCACCTCCACACCCCCCCACACATACCCATACCCACACCCAACCTCCTCCACACACACACATACATCCCCACAGACACCCATACTCACCTCCAAACCCCCTCACACACACCCATACCCACCCCCACACCCCAGGCTCTCTTACATGGGATCTTCTTGAAGACTGTGTTGCACATGAACTTCTGGAACCTCTCTGCGTAGAAGCCCGGCCTGTGAACCGACACCGTGTCCTGAGAGAGACAGACCAGGGTTAGGGCCGCACTGGACCAGACAAGACTGGACACCGCAGGGCGGGATCGGGCCCGGAAAAGCGCGGAGTCTCTCACCCCGTCGTGGACCAGCGCCTTCCAGGAGTGCTCCAGCTTCTTGACGAACCTGCGGGACGGGAGACAATGGGGTCAGGCGCGGGGCGGACAGGGGTTCCCAGGCCCCTAGACCCACAGGCCCTCTGACCTTCTGCACCCCAGCTTACCTGTAGGACTGCAGGATGTCGATGATGCCGATGTAGATCAGCAGCCTCTCTCCCTTGGCGTTCCGCGCTGGGATCCCTCCCATCCTGTGTCAACAACACGATGGGCGACAAGTCAGCCAGCAGCAGGAAGTGTATCGATCACGATGCCGGTACTGTTGACCGGTCAGCGCTGATATCCACTCGGCCCGCTGACCGTCTCCACTGTGCCCGATACTTTACTGATATTGACGAGGCTGTGGGACTGCACTGTGCACTGACTCGCATCAGGAGAGCGAT